TGGGAATTAATGAAACACATGGCATATGTGGGTTAGTTAATCAGTTTGACATTTTCAGTTTTTTTTTACTTTGGACAGAGCCATGCTAGCTGTTTCCCCCTGCTTAAAGTCTTTATGCTAAGCTAAGCTAGTCACCAGTCTAACTCTATACGTAAGAAACAGACATGAAAGGGACTTTCTCATCTAAATCTCAGCAAGAAGGTGAATGAGTGTATTTCCTAAAATGTCAACTATTTCATGATACATGAGATTGTTTGAATCATATTTGGATTGTCTTAATACTAAATACTTAGAATCAGTCTCCTATACACGTTAAGAAAGTGAAATACAAACTATAGGCCAAAGTTACAGTTCAAGGGCCAGTGTGCAGGATGTAGGGGATCTATTGGCTGAAATTAAATACTATATTCACAACTATGTTTTCATTAGTTTATAATCACCTGAAACTATCTTCACTACCTACATAGGGTCCTCTTCATGAAGTCTGCCAAACACTCGGTCTAGAGAGAGCCTTTCTCGTTTTTTCGTTACCTGAAAGCCACCATAGTTCTTTAAAAGGAAGGAGGAGCGGAGAGGTTTTCGGTTGGTTGTAATCTGCCACTAAATCCTACACACTGCTCTTTTAATAGTAGACATGTGAACTCCAAAACTAAACTCATAGTCAGTGAACAAGCTTTTCTCCATTCTGCACTTATCAAATCTAGATAATAGTTGCTGAAAATCTGCCACTTGATAATCTGCACCGTGTGCAACATGGTTGGTCCCGTAAGTGGTCTGAGAATGCTAACTTTGCTCAATTAAATCATGTATACACAACACAACACAAAATCATTTTTTATTCCCACATTTATTTATCCCTTTAGTGATCATTGGTTCAGGCTACATTAGTAACTTAACTTGAATATACAAACAGTAAGCAAATCCCGGACTCCAGTGGATGGTAAATTGGGAATAACTTGCTTACATTTGTAGTCAGTTTAATGCACAAATAAATGCAGTTTTATATTCACAAACTGATCATACTGTCCATGATCACACAAATAGCAGGCCTTGATATGTGATCCATATGTATGATTTGTATCGAAAACAAGCCTCTAATGTTACTACTGGAACAGTTTCATATTTCAGTGGAAAAAGACCTCCAATCACAGACTAAAATCCTGTCCAGTCAAAGCCCATCAGAAGCACATGGTGCTGATTGAATAAGAACCTTTCAAGATGAACTTGGCATGCAACCCATGAATATCATTTGACGACATGGTGATTGTTTGTAAAACTAATGGAAGCCTTAACCCCTCCTTACAGGTTCTTACACTAGGACTGTAACTGTGGCGCGTGGTCTGGACATTTCTTAGGTTAATAGTAGTGAAAGTGATTTTCTTTTCTACTTCAGCGCATCCTCATACAACAGCTCATGTGATATCTTACGAAAAAAAGCTACTTTGCATTTTTTTGTGCGCTTTCCTACAGAAGTCCAGTGCAACACTGTTCATTTCTGTGACACGCATACTGTCTTTTCAAATGAAACTTCCGTCTTCACAGGAAACAACTAAGTTAGGTTCACGCAACAAAACTACTTGGTTAGGTTTCTTACTTAGGTTTCGTAAAAGATCGTGAAATACTTAGTTAGGTTTAGGAAAAGATTGTGGCTTGGGTTGTAATAACTACGGAAGAGGCATTACTTCAGTACAGAAGTTACTTGACAAATAAATCAAAGATGACTTCTCGTTTCACACGGCGCACGAACGAGGGTCTCCTGGGTGAGAGACCGTTTTTTGTTTGACCTACCATTACGCTCTGTGTGGGTTTCTGCTGCCTTTATACATCGTGGTTTATGATTACGTGGATTTTATACAAATTGATGTCATGGGATATCTTGGGAATTACAGCGCATTGACTTTCATAGGCATAGCTACGAACGTTATATGAGAACAGCCTGACTTAAAAATCTACATTGCGTATCAGTTTATGGGGCAGTTGGACTGGAAATGCAATTCACAAATACATTTTTTTAAATTTCAATAGCCCACGGCATTTATCAATACTGAAATAGGTACAAAGAATGAAGCTTTTAACTAAAATTAGTACTTTTAATTGACTATACTTCCTGTATGTACTACTCATTACTATTGAGGTCTTCTCCACATCTACACAGAATACTATGTAATGTCATCTGTGCGTGACTTGGCATGTGATGTTCAGGGTCTCTTCCGCTCAGGGTTTTGGACCACAAACAGGGCAACTGTCCCCTCATCTCTCTGCCACTGGTACCTACAGAAGAAAAAAACATATGCGAGGTTATTACTGCCAAATCAGCTCTTTTAAAACCACATCTTCATATACATGAAGCCAAATTACAGAATTGACTTACTGGCTCTGTTCAGGAACGAGTAAACTGTCTCCTGCAGAAAGACTGAACTCCTGCTCGTTCATAGTAACTCTCGAAGATCCCTCCTGAGAGACGAGGAAAGACGACAATAATCTCAGACAGATCTGCTGGTTGGTCATATGAGGCTACAGGAAGGAACAGCACATTTAGTGCAACATACCATTTGCCAGATCCACACGTCGCTTTGTCGCACAGACGTCTCCGTCAGCCCTGGTCCAAACACCATCACCTGTCATGGACACAAGACAGAGCATCATCATCATCATCTACAACTTGTACATTTACAATCAAATCCACTGTAACATGTTTTCATCTATGATGCAATACTGAACACCAAAAGACTTTTATTTTTGTTTCCAGGTCAACAGGTCATGGTTAAAAAATGGACACTATGCTACACAAGTTTCAGCTACTACTGCAAATATGAGACCTGATTTATTAATTTTTTGTATCTTACTTTAAGAAATATAAACACGGTTTCCACTAAATCTCGTTTTATATTGGAAGTCTATGAGAAAGTGACTCTACTTCTCTCTTGATTTATTACGTCAGTAAACATTGTAAACATGAGTTTATGGTCTCAATCTCTAGTTTCAAGTCTTCTTCAATACAGCAAGATGTTCATTTAGTAAGTTATGGTCCATTTAGAGTCAAATAGACCATAAAGTGGAGTATGCTTAAGGGCGGGGCTACCTTGTGATTGACAGATCGCTACCAGAGCCGTATACAACGTCTCTACCATTATGTCACTCCTCTGCAGTCCAAATATGGTCACTTCAGTTCACTGGTTGCAAAAAGACAAGATGGCGACGGCCAAAATGCCACCGGAGGATTCAAAACCGCAGTCAACAAACCAATGGGTGATGTTACATTGACTACGTCCACTTCTTATGGACAGTCTATGGTGCAGACCGGAATTTACTGCGCATGTGTGGTAGCCCAATTATATGATGCATCTCCTCTTTAAACCTTGGTTGGTTAAAAGGAGAGCATTTCCTATCTGAATCTAGGGGTTTAAGGATGGAGGGCGACATATGTTGTACATATTAGGAATTTGTGATTTTGGACTTCATTGATAAAACTACAACAGCTTTGTCTGAATCAAACAGTCTAAAATAGATCAAATTATTATTTGAATCAGCAATTGTCTGATAAAATAATACGTCAACAAGAATAACATTTTGAGCAAGATGCTCAGTATTCAACAATTTGAATACACATGTTACTTGATAAAACAAGAAGTTGAAACTCTGAGACCTTTACAAAAGCCCATGTGATGACGTGATTCACGGTACCTCTGTCTCAAACTGAGCTCCGAACATGTCGATGGGACTGCTGCCGGACAGGGACGGCCTCTGCTTGTCCAGCCAGTCTTTGAAGGAGAAAGGGGACATCACGTTCATGGTGTTCAGCTGGAACGGGGGTTCTCCGAAGACTTCGCCTGCTCACCCAAAGACAAGCACGGTGACACCAGTTTAAAACGGACAGGGATCAGACTTCAGATTAGACTTTTTTTTTTCCAGGAATCACAAGAAATGTCTCACTTGAATCAGGCTTTCCTGTTTTGGCCTGCTTTGATGCCATGAACCTACAACGACAAACTGCGTCAAAAATATATATAACCTGATCTGATGGAGACTGTTTGTAAGTGTATCGAAGGGAAGATGTCTTACTCTTTGATTATTGGCACCAGCTGGGTTCCCAGATTCTCACAGTAAAACCACTTCTCAAACAGGGTGCAGGTGGTGTTGTCCACAAAGTACCTGAAGGCACCAGCACACGCTCATGTTAATGCTGCTCTTACATGTCCGTTACTCTCTCACTGAATGCTATGGTTTATTTGGACACAGTGTCCGTCTGAGATTCTTTGTATTGCACGTCTGATTTGATGCATTTATGCCAACTGTGTTCTACACAATGACATAATATGGCCATTTCAGGTTTACAAAAAAGGACGAAGTGGGAGGAGGAGGAATGAATTTTTAAGATTAAAATCGTAAATTTACGAAAGAAAAATCTACGATATTCTCTGAGATTAAAGTGGTAAATTTACAAGAAAAAAACTTTTTCCCTCGGAAATCTTATTTTATAATCTCAGAGAATATTTTAATATTTTCCTTCGTAAATGTACGACTTTAATCACGGAAAATACCCTTTTTTTCCTCTAATTTCAGATCAGTGTCTTCTGCTCGCCGTATTTCTAATCTTGTTCCCAGTGAAGAGAGCTGTGTGTTCTAGAAGGTAGCAGGTAACTCAGCTCATGGAATTGGCCTGTAATAACATGACTGCAGTCATGCTAAGGCTAGGATTTGTCACACAAACTTCTTTTTTTATCTAAGGTGCCTGAGCAGGGAGAGTTTAGATTCTGTGGATAAAAGTCTATGACCTAATGTAATTCACAAACAGGATATTTGGGAAGCAGACAATATTTTCAGTTTTGTGTATCGCCACTAAATGACCTCAGGTTGGAACTTGTGATTTAATGCACTGTTTGTTAAAGATGGTTACTTTTTATTTTTCTGTCATGAGTGAGGGCTTTTTGTTCCCTTTTAGACACAAAGTTGTGATTTTGAAAGAACACAACAGCATTAATTTGCATTAATTTACAGATTTTGCAAATGGAATGTAGTTTTGGTTTGAGTGTCACCTATTCTCAGAACTGCTCTTTTGTTTTAAACAACGAATTAAAACAAGCTGAAACTCAAAAGTTATGATTTTCCTCTAATTGTAATTTGTCAGTTATTTTTTAATTTTTTTATTTTGTCCTCTATGCATTGCTATTATGCCGCTTAAGAAGATGTGAGAAGACAAGACGAGAAGGAGAAATAGTGAACCTCAGGCAGTCGGTCTCAGTCAGCAGCCGTCTCCTCTCCACCACCAGTCCCACAGCGTTGGCCTGTCTCTGGGGGGAGTGGGGGATCCGAGCCGGCAGCAGGAACATCTAAAGGAGGAAGAAAAGAATGGAATGCAGATTGTCGGAGCAAAACGGTGTGGATGAGGCAAAGTTCACCGCACGCGTTTTACCGCTGAAGGTGCACTGCAGCATCGTAAATGTGAAATCTTGAATTATTAGCTTACCTGTCCCTCCTTGATGTGCACATCCTTGTGTTTCCCATTTTCTATCACCTTCAGACACATGTCTCCCTTCACCTGGTAGAACAGCTATAAAAGAAGAAGAAATATCTTGAGATTATTGCTGTCTTGGTTATTTGCAAGCAGGCGTGATGCGAGAGGGTTGAGCTGTACAACCGGATGCTGAATAAGACATTTTTAGGCGACCAATATTGAAACTCAAAACTCAAAACACACTGTGTCAAAGTTCTAAGAAAAGAACACGGAAAATTTCCAGAACAACAACACTGGTATTGACCTGTCAATCACAAGGTAGCCATACCATAAAGCATACCCTGCTTTATGGTCTGTTTGACTCTAAATGGACCATAGTTTACTAAATGAACATTATGATGTGTTGAAGAAGTCATAAAACTAGAGATTGAGACCATAAACTCATGTTTACAATGTTTACTGATGTAATAAATCAAGAGAGAAGTAGAGTCATTTTCTCATAGACTGCTATGCAACCAGACTTCTTTTGCAACCAGAGGAGTCGCCCCCTGATGGACATTTGAGAGAATGCAAGTTAAAGGCACTTCCTCACTGCCTTCACTTTTTTAGAACCGGCAGTTGCGCCCTGCTCCAGAGGGAGCTGAAGTCTGATAGATTGCTTCACTTGAGGCCCAACCTGCCTCATGTGATGTCACTTGAGGCAGGTTGAGGCATGAAGACTACAGGTTTGAAAATGATCATCTCTACTTGAGGTTAGCGGCTCGAGGCTACATTTGTCACTGCTAGCATAACGCACCGGAAACCCCGAATGAACTGTCGGTGGTCACGATGCATTGTGGGTAATGTATGCTCCGGGTTTGAAATTGAAAGATGAAGAATATGTGGATTAAAAAAGTCCATATCCCTCTTTTATTTCTGCATCGATTACATCATTTTCTTATCAGACATGATTGTGTAAATATCTGGGATGGTGCAGAAAGGTCTAAAAATGTTAGCCAAGTATCATCAAAGGATGCCAACAACAACAGTGTGTGGTGGAGGTTGCCCTGTTTGTTGGGGGAGAGTGGTATCAATCACATTTGATTGGACCGCTATAAAGTGGGCGGGCTTAGAGTGTAAGAACTACAGAGGACTGTGGGCTGCACACACACCTCCCTAGTTGCTAAATGTCGCAGATATATTTATGAAAGGACGATATTATTGGATGAAATTGATACCAACTACTGTAAGCGCACTTCATATTTTGTTTTACATTCAGAGAAGATGATTGGATTGAAATATACAAAGAATTTACTTTTTGTAAAAGAAAAATTCACATATTACTAAATAATTGCACAATATGCCCGGGGATCTAAAAGGGTTCTTTTTCATTTCATCTGGACTTTAACTGTGAGCTGGAGTTTGTGAATGTAAAGCAGGTAAATGGAGAACTGAAGGCTGAAAGGAGTACTTCTCTCTCACCTCCTCCCCTTCCTCTATATGGTAATCCTTCCTGGTATTGGGACCTCCGACAAACATGATGATCAACTGGGAAAAGTGCCTGATAGAAAGGAATTAAAGACAGTTTGGTACTCTGACACATGATTTGAAGAGATTTTTCAAATCTGACTTTTAAAGTTGCACTGGTTGGTCATCCTGCAATCCAAGAAGAAGCAACAATGTTGCTTGTACATCCAAAGTGAAACTACTCACATGAGCTTGTTGCACACTGGTGGCAGGAAAGCATTCTCGTTCGCTGCAATCCAGTTCTCCACGTTCACAAGAGATTCGTTGCTCATTTTTTCAAACTGATTGGGCTTTGTGGCGCAGTGTTAAATCTCTCTGACTCTGCTGGTCTGAGCAGTTCAAACAAAGTGACTGTATAGTGTGGAGGGGGGAGGAGTTCAGCTCCCCTGAACAGATGAAAGGTCGCTTGCACAGTGATAATAAGTAACATAATGTGGACAGATTGGAATATATTGTAACACTGATGAGGTCAGGCTAGCAACATTAAATGACCACCTGTAATGAAGGGCTTAACATTTGGTTGGTTCCCCCACCAAAGTATTATGATTTAGCTTTTTAGTCATTTAAACAAATATCCCAATTCGATTTGTGTCGACATATCTCGTGTTTTAACGAGATAAACTCCACTTTGTGTGACAGGTGTGTGGAACATGTTGCAGCCAGCTGTGTGTTTAGCGGCTCAGCAGCGGAATCGGGCCTCGGTGGTCACGTGACTTGTGGCTTCAGTGAGGGAGGTGCCTAACTTCTGACGATGGTGTCCCACCGTGCTGCACGCAGATAGGGTAACCGAAAAAGAAAAATCGGGATGGGACAATGGGAGAGTGTAAGAGGATGAGAAAGAACTGCACGATCTAGGTGTGAGACGAAGGAGAGGCCTGAGAATAAACAGAACCCGACCGGCACCGCAACTGCCAGTCTGAAGGTGTTGCCCTCATCTGGCCTGCAGCATTAATCACCTCCTCTTATTATCAGCCATGTTCATGCACACATGCCTTTATCTACCCATCAAGATGACCAACTTTAAGTTAATTGTTTCCCACAGGAGCACTACATGCCTTAAACTTCCCTCAAACCTTTGCAAAAACTCCGATATTGCAAAAGGCGCCCTGGGACGGTACATTGAGATCTTCAGATCCAAGCCCACCCCCGCCCCCGTCAGTAACCACGCAGCTATGTGTCACAAGCTGTAATTCACATCTGCCTTTGGTTAGCGCCGAGTGCTCACTCACTATCTCGCTGTCTGACAGCTCCCAGGCCCAGCTGTTATGTATTGCGAGCCCGTAGGCTCTGCTCATTACGTGTGACGGTATAATTATTATCATTATTATTTTTTAGTCCCCCCCCCCCCCTCTCCAAGGCTCGCTTGAGCCTGGAGCGACACCACTGATAAAGCGCCTGTCAAGTTGCCAAAAGGAAGTGATGTCATTTTGCCTGGATGCACACCAGCAAATGTAAAGGTCAAAGGTGTGTCTTGTCAGAAGGGGGAGATATATGTGTGTGTGTGTGTGTGTGTGTGTGTGTGTGTGTGTGTGTGTGTGT